TTCCTTCCTCCCCTCCATCTTTCCTTGTATCCCTCCTTCCTTTCTTGTATCACTCCTTCTTTCTTCCTTCCCCTCCCACTCCTTCCTTCCTTCCTTCCTTGTTCCTCCCCTCCATCTTTCTTTGTATCCCTCCTTCCTTCCCTATATCCCCCCTTCCCCCTCTCTCTCCTTCCTTCCTTGCTTCCCTCCATCTTTCTTTGTATCCCTCCTTCCTTTCTTGTATCACAACTTCTTTCTTCCTTCCCCTCTCTCTCCTTCCTTCCTTCCTTCCTTCCTTGTTCCTCCCCTCCATCTTTCCTTGTATCCCTCCTTCCTTCCCTTTATTCCTCCGTCCTTCCTTCCTTCCTTCTTTGTATACTTTCTTCCCTATATTCCTCCTTCCTTCCCTTTATCCTTCCTTCCTTTTACCCCCCTTCCTTCCCTCATTCCGTCCTTTTATCCCTTCCTTTCTTCCTCTCTTCTTTCCTTATTTCTTTCCTTTCTCTCCTTCCTTCCTTCCCTCCCTTCCTTCCTCCCTTCTTTCCTTATTTCTTTCCTTTCTCTCCTTCCTTCCCTACCCCCTCCCTCCCTCCTCCCCGCTTCCTTCCATCCTGCTTCCTTCCCTCCCTCCCCCCCTCTTTGATGGTGGTTCTCCTGTGGGAGGAATCGGATATGAACCCTCCCCTTTTCTCTCTTTCAGCTCCTCGCATTCATCCGACAGTGGGAAGAAGCAGAAGGTGGATGACAGAAGGGCAACAGGAGATGGAGACAGAACTGCAGGTGGGGATCAGTGTGATGCTGGTGGGCGTAAAGTTCAGGATCTTTCAGCTTTACCCGAAAGAAGCTTTAACAAATGAACCAGTTTCTGGTGGGACCAGGAAGCTGGAATCAGATGGTCGTGGATAAATAAGAGACGGTCGTCATATCTGCTAAGAAGCCGAGGGTTCATTTAGATTCTGAAGTCTCTGTTCTGTTGCTGATGATAAAGTTAATAATTTCTAGTCAAAGATCGGATCAGTAATGGACAGATCCAAGGATTCCTCATTTATCAGGGGGAATCACAGAATCACTTTGATTCTGGATTTAGCAGTGAGTGCAGAGTCCAAACTGTTCTGAGACCTGTGATCTTATTTAATTTCTGCTGGAGGTTTCTTCCTGTTAAAGGAAATTTTCCACTCCACTGTCGCTACAAGCATGCTGAGTATGAGGGATTGCTGAAGAGTGAATGAGTCGACACAATCAGCTGCTTTTCCCTAGAAAACTTTTAATCTGACTGTTCTGTCTCTATAAAGATATCTGAGATGATATGTTGTGAATTGATGAGATAAAAATAAACTGAATTGAATTACAGTCAGATTCAGAGCGATTTCCTGCAGCATTTTAGGCCAGCTTTGTCACCACATAAACACGGTGGTGGCAGCATATGCTTTCAGGAGGCTTTGTTCAGCAGGGGAAGAACAACTCCTGTTGGAGTCTGCAGCAGACCTGAGGGTGGACTGCAGGTTCTCCTTCCAGCCATGTTTCAAAATGGCCTAGTAAAAGTACAGACATGAATCTAAAGCAGAATCCTTGGAAAGACTTAAAGACTTTATCTTTCTATAGTCAAAGCTGGTCTATTCCAAGGTTTGGGATAAAGATGGACGATGTTACTGAATTTTTGGGGGATGAGCAAAAATATAGAGAAGTAAAATGTTCACAAAGACACAGAAATAAAAAAAATATCTTATGGTTTACAATAAAATTTGTAACTAATATTATTGGAGCTTTCAAAAAAGGTTTCCTTCTTGAAGGAAGTGTCCAGCCGCAGCAGTTCTGATTCTGATTGTTTTCCTGCTCAGAGCAGGACGGAGGAGCAGCAGGAGGACGAAGCAGGGAAGCTGAGGATCACCGAGCCGTTCCAGGTCTCACAGCCAAGACTCCGCCCTCCACCCGAGGAGTGCTTCACCTGCCATCGGCCGCCGTGTGCGTCGGCGTTTTGCCCGGGCTCAGCGCTTATTCTGGCAGCAGCGACTCTGACAGCAGCTCGGACAGCGAAGGTAGCGTAGATGCAATCATGTCGCCGTACCCACGGCACAGCAGGGCCTACAGATAGACACACCCACTCATCCACCCACCCACAGAAACACTAAGTAAAGCTTTGAGCTCCAGCCGTTAGAGCTGTTCACTCTGCTCCTCTCACAGCTGGGAGTTTAACTTCTCTTTCTCCAAAGTTCAGCCCAAACCTGATCTGTTCATCATGTCTGTTTCCTTTACTGTGGCTCTGAAACATGATTCTTCCCTCAATCACATCTCATGCAGTTTAAGGCGACCCTGCCAGCGGCTGAAGGCTGTGCTGGTGGCTGAGCGAACAGTGACTGACAGCTGTGGAGTGAAGACCAGGGCGGCTTTAGGACTCTGATTGTTTTAGACGAGTCAGAGCAGGACGCAGCTTTTTCAGTTTACCATGCTGGACTTCTTTGCTTCTCTCTCCGATGTTTAAATTTTTAATTAAAAAATGTGGATCCTTATCCTCTTGTGTTTACTGACACATTTGTGTTTTAGAAACGTCAGGCCGCTGCCTGCATGTGAAATCATGTAATAAATGGATTTATTGAACTTCATCGACTCACATTGGGATTTTTTTTTCTTTATTCCAGAATCTTCTCCTTTCTGTCTCTTCTCAGTTTCAGTCTCCGCTTTGGGTTCAATGTATTAAAACATGAAAAAAATTAAAACAGGATTACTTTCCTTTTTTCCTATTGTGTCTCACATCCTGACATCTAAGGTTACTTTCTAGATCAATCGGATTTTCCATTTCAAAGTATACAAGGAAAACGAGCTGATTGCATCCAGTC